GGATTAGCGAAGGCCTTTCATTACATCCCTCTTTCGCGGCAATTTAAAAATTAGCCGCGGAAACCTTAGTTAAAAACTTGTTTCACCGGGAAACTCCGATTAACACATTTTTCAATTAGAGAGGCAATTTGGGATACGATTCGTAGGCAAAAAAGGTGTCCGAAAAGTTGGCGGGAATTCAATTATGTGTTGGAGTTTTACTTTTAATTAATTGAAAGTAAATTGCCTTTGCACATCCTGGGATTAGTATTTAGTTAGGGAAACAGTGGAATAAATTATTTTGTTTAGATATTGTACTTGACAAATGTAAAAGTTTTCATTCAGATTTACATATTAGAATATCATTACAAAGGGGGCAATGAGTAGAGTGCCTTAAAAACTTCTACGAGTGTCCTTACTACTATTTACGCGAGTTGCGTACACTACTTTACCTACGACAGTGTGTTAATTACTAAAAATCACTTCTGATAACTTCTAAGAGAGGTTACCTTTTCGTTTTTCTCATTGCCAATGACAGTGATACAGCAAAACATTGTACCAAACACTAATAATTGCACCACTCAACAATTAAAATTGCCTGAACAGCTGACTAGTTGAAGTTAGAATCATTACAATTTTACTTATTTTCTCTCAATCCTTGAACCATATTGGTCCATTACCCGTGTTGTTATGAGTACAAGCTCTTATAAAAGAAAACAATGCTGTTATGAGAATCTTTTCAATTCTATGAACTGAACAGAAGCGGGGCTACTTTGGTAAACTAGAAAAAATAATGGAATGCGTAATAACTTATGATTTCGTTGAAGTAACTCCATAGGTAAAACGTTTTATATTTTTTTAATGTTTGAGTTGATCATAGGCTATTTATATTCAGAAAAGAATTTCTGAGGGGACAATCAGTAGTTGCTTTCCTTTAGGGTTTAACCATCTTTGATTTTAACCTATCTAAAAAACTTTAAAAACATAATTTCACAATACTAAAAACTGTTACACAATTTGTTTCAAGCACGACACGAGGTTACATCTACACCGACAAACAAACTGGTTCCCAATAATTTACGGCAGGTGAACAACCACGTACGGATAATGTGTTTCACGATCAGCTGTTTCAGGATCAGATGTCTCAGGATTTGTTCCCGAGGCACCGGAAACCCAGTATCGGGATGTCAACAGTCACTATCTGGAATCGAGCCATGAATCGTCTCCAGGTGCGAGGTACGATCGGAAAGAAAGGGTTTCTGTAATTACTATCGGAGTGTAATTTATACGTCCTCAGACGGGGCATATGCCTCGGCGAAGTGTGCGGTGTTACAACACAAGAGGTGAAGATTCAAGGGTAGGAGTTTCAAAGGAGGGAGAGGAGAATTAGTATTGACGTATAGTTGGACATCATGTGATTAAGTCACACTTAAATTAATCTTTTCAGTTTTGGTGTATTTTTGTCCACAAATTTCGGAAGAAACTTGTGAAATTGTATTTTAGAACAAATTTTGGGGAATTGATATGCTTTAGTTCTAGTATATTATATTTTAGCTGGGAAAGATTTGGTGCATAAACTACAAGTTTTGTTATCTTTCTAGATACCCAATAAACCGATTTAAAAAGCGACCATTTTCTTACTTGACCAATGAATACGATTATTTTACTATAAATATAATGTATCAGTTTGAATAAAAAAAATTACCCTAGACCCAATATGAAACTTTTCATTATAAATCAGTGAAAACGAAACTCAAAATGCATTATGTAAAACAAAAATGTTCATAGAGCTGAAGCCAACTCGTCCGTAACTTAGAAACAGCGATCGGACTAACTTGGACAAACTTTCCCAATTATTTAGCGAAAATAAAAATACAAGTTAATGTACTTCGAAGTAAGCACGAACGTGCAGTTGAGTCAAAAACGAGGAAAAACAAACGAGCCCGGCCTGCTCTGTTATTGACTTATTTTTGTTTCTATTGAAGTTGTAAAGAATAAATAAATGGGAGAAGAATGGTCCGAGAACACGCAGGTTGCCGCACGAAGTCGATGTCATTAATCTACGAGAGGCCAATTACATTTCGAAAATATGGGCAAACTGAGGCCTGCCTCGAGTAGATTACTTCCTAGGCCTGCCTTCGCTACAACTTGCAAGGCTTCATCGTATAATTATTAGGTTTTGTATTGTTAGGGCTGCATAGTCCAGATATATTTTATTTAGCGTTTTTCAGTCCCGATGTTTAGCTGCGTATTGGATACATTAACAATAGAAAAGGTTTAAATTCATTCCGCAAATTTATCTTTACTAATATAAAAATAAAGGGATTTTTGTAACCCTTACTTCAAATGCTTTGAACGAATTGCTCTTCGATTTGAAATAAACTTCTATAGGTTATTTATGTGTTGTGAGTAAGATGAACTGTTTTGAAAAAAAATGTTTGGGTAGTATTGTTATGGACACTTCTGAATGAAATTGGAACTAAAATTTAGTATTTTCTTTTTTGAAACCATCTTATTAACCATTAATATCACGAACACTTGGAGGTTATATTATTTGATTGTAAATACAATTTATGAATGAATAGACTCGTTAACACATCAAGGTAAACTATACAATTGAACATTTAACTCTCTCTATATAATAGTGTTATATATTCAATAACGATACTAAAACTATTGTTTTTGTATACACTTTACGATAAAGTTATTGTACGTGTAAGTTATACCAACGTATTCTATATTACATTTTGTACACATTTCTGCAAGAATATGGAAATATGATGCCTTCGTAATTGCACCCGGAAAAGCTATGTTTTAAGTTCTATATAAATAAATTTTGCTAAAAAATCATATGCGTGAATTATTTAACTCATTTTTCGTGTAGTAAATATTAAGTAAGGCGGTCTTCAAAAATCTCATAGGAACTATTAGACTTTAAACTCTGTGAAATGATACACGGCTTACGACCAAGTCATACGCTAAAAGAGACGTAAGATTTTGAGAAAGGTGTTGAATAATGGAAGACCCAGAGATAAGGTACATAAATAAATAGACCGCACGCAATTGGCCACCATTTGTAAAACCGGGCGCACTTAGGGCCACCACGCCATCCCTTACCGGCAAGAATAATGCGATGTTTTACTCAGCACAACTACTTTCCTGCAAAAACTGGAAAACAATTTGTATTTGATAAATGGTCAAAATCTTGGTTTTGTAATTTTTTTCGGAGGTTACCGAGAATGTTCTTTTCGTTGTGGTTATGTATGTTGAAATCCAAATCCAAAGTTTCATAAGTAAAAAATGGTTTTGGATTATTTTCATGTTTTGAAATTAATTTAAAATATTTTAACGTGTCACGTGGTGAATCTTTGACTATTTGAATGCATGTGTTGTGTATTGTGTTTGTGTGTTGTGTGTTGTGTGCTGAATGCATGTATTGTGTGTTAAAATCATCAACGAATCTATTCAAGTAGGTCCAAGGATCCAACGATCCAACACACTATCTGGACTGGGGTGTATGGCAACGCATTAGACAAAATGTACACCCTGCTTGTTAATTTGGAACTGCTGTCAAGGTATTTGTAGATAACTATAACTAAATGGTGCAGTTTTTTGGTACTAAAATTAATTTAACTGTAGGCTGCATGTAGTTTTTATTTTCGAGACATTTTTGTGGTAAATTAAACTTAAATTTGTAAAAACTTATAAATTATATTAATGAGAAAAATTAGTTTTACACATATATAAGGATGGTAAAACATTTTAATATTGTTCTTCAAGTCTTCAAGGCAATGTAAAATGTTGGGATAAAAATGTTAAACACCTTATTTAAATACTAAAAAATTAAAACACATTCACTTTTTTCTTGAACGATACGATCCCACTTTTTAATCCTTGTGGTATTACCAGACCGAGAACGGTAATTATTTAGTGGTCCTTCCTAGTGGTAATTTGACAGCCCCAGAAGGGAAAACAAGCCGCACGTAAAAAAATTAAAGGGTTGTGAAAATATATGGGTTTGACAGTGAGGGGTGGCTGGAGGGAAGCTGCATCCCAAGTGCATCTCATAGCCCCATTGGCAACTTCACACTTAGCTTAGTTCACGATAATTTTCTAACTGGAGTTTCTAACTGTTAGCGGACTCAAATAAAAATTGATTGCTTAAGTTCTCTTCGTGTACTTTGGACTTGTGTACGTTTCCAATATTGAAGAAATCGAAATAGGTTGTGGTTCTAGTAGCTTTGACATGACTTTGGTAATGTTTACTAGTCGCATATTTTTTGTAATATTAGCTACTGATACACACAACTAACTATGTGTGGATTGAATGGTATATTTTTAAGCTAATCATTTTTTGTAAGAATTTATAATTATATAAATAAAGGGACAAGTAGCCTATCGTATAATGTATGAAAATTATAATCTTTTTTTAAAAATTACGGTTGAATTATCGTATTACTGACCACGCAAAACAAAAGTTAGTAAGAACGATCCTAACAGAAGTCAATGACTTTTTGATTTTAAAAACTGAACCGAGATGTTCTTAATCACTGTGATTTGAAAATGATTCTTGCTTTAGAACTGATCTAGTCAGGAACAGGGTGTCATCTTATTTGTTCAATATTCATCCCTTACCTTAAGATACGCACTCCGGGGGAGGGGGGGGGGTCAAATAAGTACAAATTTCAATTTAAACTATTTATTACTTTTGAGATCCTCTTAATATTTTTTTCTTGTCCCAGGCAGTAATGTAGAGCCAAATTTCTCAACATGTGTCTTAGACAAGGTTTTTTTTTGTAATAATTTTGAATGCACTTGAAATTTCTAAAACCATTCTTTAAAAGCCCTTCTCCCGTCTCTAACAATTTGTCAAAGTTATTTTGGGAGTCGGAATTATCACCCATGATACTTTTTAGTAAAGCGTGCACCTTGTTGTATAATCCAAAGTGTTTCCCCCCGTTCCCGACATTTTAGGGTTAATTGTGACCATATCTCCCCTGATACTTGATCAAAATACATACCTTAGTAGTGTGAGTTCGCAGGCTAGACTCGGTGGCGAAGCCCTTCCCACAGATGGTGCAATGGAAAGGTCGGTTTTTGGCTCTCTCCACCTGGGCGTCGTGGTTCCGAAGATGCTGTTGAAGATTCGACAGTTGGATGAAGGCTCTCCCACACTCGGCAAGGTGGCATCGGTAAGGCCTCTCGCCTGGAAAATAAAGAATTTCAAGGTCAGAGAGGTTTGAAAGGAAAACATAAATATACAACTATCATAGTCTAGAGTTTCAAGCTTTATGTTGTCTGGATAGCTAATATAGTTTGGTGGGTTGTCTGAACCGTGTTACATATGATTCAAGGCTACATGACTTCGTATGGATTTGATTGAATTTCAACAAGTGCACTAAGACAGAGTTTGACTTGAGTGATAGTTGATACAGGCCAACTCTCAACGATTTATTCCAACAATGCAATTGGCATTTTCTGTGGAACTTTATAGCCTAAGCAAAAGATCAATGTTCATTCGTGACTCGATTTCAAATGTGACAAAATTGTATAGTGAATTGTTAATTTTCGCAATATTGTATCAAGAAAGAAGGCAAAATAATCAAAACGAAATCCATTCGAACCTTAACGGTGATTACAATTCAATCAAAAGAAATCCAATGTTGAAAAAAGATTGAATGGCAAATTGCGAATGTTTACACAAAAGAAAAAGTCCCTAAAATCTTCTGTCGCCCTTCAAAAGAGGGGGAGGTAGAGTTGGGCGACGCGCGCTCGTGCGCATCTTGCGCGTAGGAGTGCGTGCCGGTGTGTAAGTAAGATTGACATAGCCTAATCGTCTATAACACAACTGCCTAGGCCTACATAAGACCTACTTACACACAATTGACGGCTATGGAGGTGTTACCTGTGTCATGTATTATACAGACATCTCTATATTTGTCTATTAGTATGACTCTCATGTTTTGACTATTCATTCCCATATTATTCACGATAGATTTCTTCGTGTGCTAAAATATGTATTCTATAGGATATTAAAGTAAAGATTAGTTTCATAAAGCTTTTAAGTTTTTCTCCTCATGCGTATATGGTTTTTGTTTGTCCACTAGTTTAAATGTATCTGATTCCAATTCGCCTTAGTTAGGATTTAGGAACTATGATATAAACCAAGGTTAGGTCTTGCTAGTGTGCAGTTTCTTCTGAATATAAATGATTTATGTTCAGCAAGTACCCAAGCAGCAATTTTAGCACACACTTCTAATATAAATAAATCTTGACATAAATACATAGTTTCACGAGCAAAATTTTACTGAAACTAAGATCACACTAGAGGTCCCTTTGTTCAAAAGATTTCCCGCTAATATCTTCCCTGTAATTTGACTTGCTATAAAGACGCACACAAAACATTTACACCCACCAATCCATTCACACAACACAAAGCGAATTGTTTATTTCAGACCGAACCACCCATCAAGCAGTACCACCGGAGCTATTTCATTTCCAGAATTTTACAAAAAAAGTACGTCAGCGGGTGAAAATCTTTGCTGAGCTTGAAAATTATTCATCCATGCTGAAAAATATTCATGCTGAGTAAAATATTCATAGTGCAGTGTGCATTTCACGTAAGTCTGTATAGTTACAGAACAAGCGCATTTTTACAAATTAATTGCCATGGGATGTCATGGCCACCATTATAAATAATTGGTGCTGTATGCCATGCAGCCGGGCCACGTTGTGCACTAGCTATTGATTATAGGCCGTCCACATCAAATAGGGATGAGGGTTCGCTATTTACATGCAGCCCTATCTAGCGTCCTAGCTCACCAGCTGGACATAACTGCTGTTTTTACAAACGAGAATTGTTCGGTTGCGATTATTTACAGTATCTCATGTCAGTTTTTATCAGTGTTCAGTGGAAATTTGGTTGGATTGGTAATGATTGAATGTATTTTATAAATACAAGGAATTTGGTTTGTGGTTGAATACAATCTTTTAAAAAAACTATTGGGTTTGGCCATTTGATGGTTATTTTGTCCTAGGACGCTAGGCACGAGCCTGGAATTGTTTTTCACACTACTTCATGCTAGACCTAGGGATTACGGCAATATCTTGGATAAAATACATTGGTGATTTGGCAGGATTTGAACCCGGGACCCCAGGAACCGGAGTCCCGTGCTCTAACCACTAGATTCATCTCACGAACTAGCTCGCTCCCCAACCATTTGATTAAAGAAACATACAATTATTTAAAACCCAACTTGACTTGATACTCGGGAAGATAAATATCTTGACCACAGTTTTCAATTTACCTTATTCAAGAGGATGAAGTACTTTTAAGCACAAACGTGCACAGAATGTTTAAGTCTGTTAACAGAAAGATTGTAAAAAAATACAAAATTGTAAAATAGCGGAAAATCTACACCAAAAGAAACTACCAGGTCCGACCAATGTATTTGATCTACTCCAGTGCGGACAAATTGGAAGTACAATAGTAGTTTTTTATTCCTAAACAATGCAAGTTTCACACGCATTGAAGAACCGGAAGTGGTGATTGCAGGTTGCTCGGTCCACTTCCGGTTGCAGGTAATGATTGAGCCGCGATGTGCCTTACATTCTGAGGATCTCGTCTTTACTTTAGACTTTCGTTGAGTATAGTTTTGAAATTTTAATTTAACAGTAAATAGGAGTTCCTACAAACAACATCTTATTAGTAAGTATTTGACTGTGTAACCATCTAGTACTTGAACAACACTTTAGTTTTAGATTTTAGTAACAATTAATTATGATTATTTTACCCTTAAATTAATAGGTATACTATGCAATAAGATTGTGCGTGTTAAGGTGTAAGGTTCAGGTTAAGGTTCAGCACACAACAAACATTACCAAATAATAAATAGCTTATGTATTGAAATATTTCCGTCTAGGTTCCTTTTTACAAAAAAAATTAACATTCAAGTTGCAGCCCCATTCTCACATGTCTCCCTCCATATAAAAACCACGTCGTATTAACCGTACAAAGTAAGGCTCTTCAAATTAGCATAACGCGTTTTAAAACAAAGGAATATTAATTCGTACTCGAACAAAATATCCTTTCTCCTCACGGGGTGAAAAAATAGACAAGTAGAAACAAAAGGGCTTCCTTAGTACCTTTGTCTTAGCGCGCATTTGCATCTGAATAATCATATTATTTAATTTCCACACATCCCGCTACCTTCTTTTACTTTTTCTAACCCTTGTAACGTACGGGGCGAGCGGAAGTGGGGTAACACGGGTAACACATCCTCGGTGTAAGCTGCGGATTTTAATTCTGAGTATTTATCTTTAGGTAAATTGATGGAGGAATTCAAATCCTTCGGCTTAGTTGCTATTTGGGACAGTTATAGTCATAAGACGAAAGTGTTAGTTAAGTCCTGTATCTTAGCTTACCCAAGCTTTTAACCATGTTATTGATACAAATATTAGATTGAATAAATAAAAAATAATTATTTCTTATTTTATTACGGAAATATTTCATTAAACTATTAAAATCTTTGAAGATTACACCATGAATCCCTTATAAGTTAGAGGGGTGATGTTCAAGTTACTTTTGAAGGAAACCCGTGAGAGGTCCTTAAGTCTATTGGAGATGCAAAAACGCGCAATCATTAGATTAATAAGTTTTCAAACCATTCTTAACACCTCACTAGTTAGTGGTGCTAACCTTTTGTAAAGTTTGCTTGATAAAATTACTTGGTTAATTACCAAATTTTATTGCAAAGAATTATTTCTAATATTACCAATACAAATCACGTCACCAGAAGTGATTTAAACAAAAACTAAAAGGCAACAAATTTCAAAATCAAGACAATTTCAATCACAGACCGTTTTAGAGGGAGGCCAGAAACCACCTCACGTTTATTGAGAAAGAAGGGCCGAAATTGACTGGTGGGGCCATTGATGGCTTTAGGGTGGCAGCAAAAATCTTGCGAAGATGGGTTCCTTTTATAAATGGGGCGTTAAGGCCGTTAAAAATGCGAGGTAGTTAGAGGAGAATATTTTTCCGTCCCTTGCAATCACCATTTAGGCCCAGACGTGATATTGTTAACTTGCGGCGAACGCTCTTACAGCGAATTATTACTCCATTACTTTAATTATATTTTCTTCTGTTCTTTACATTTTTATTACATTATTACCACTGAAAAAATAGTCAAATTTTTAATGATATTTCCACTCAGTAAATCCGTGTTTTTATTAAAACAATTACATTTAAAGTAGACAGAAAAATATAACAATTCATGATAATGGTTAAAATATTTGGGTAAAATTAATGGAGTTCTCTAAAGGGTTTAATAAGTGGTACACATTACTGGTTTATTAATAATTTATAATATTTTAGAAGACTTTAGAACGGTTTTATCTTTGTAGTTTTCAAGGCTTCATTTTTAATTGGTACAGATTAATAACGCTCTACAAAGAAATTAAAATCGTAAGTCGATGAAAGTTGGCACTTCAGATGGGAGGCGACCGACGATTCTTTGCCTCGACTTGAGTTATTCGAAAGAATTTTTTAATAAGTATTTTCGAAAGAAATGCTTTAAAGACCGACCCCTCCGCTTTGTTTTGCGGATACTTTTTAACTAATAACATTGAGAAATTCCTTTTCTTCCAAACTTTTAAATGTTTGATCTCATAAAAATTAATGTAGGTTATCAACCAATGGGAACGAGAAATATTCTGTTTGCCTTTTAGATGGTGAAAACTTAAGCGAATTTATTTTACATTTTTCATTTGTCATGAAAATTTTTCAGCTTGATAGGTTCGTCAACCTAGTGAGCAACTGCACTAATAACTTTTTTAAGCTACGACCCACCTGGAATCTACTTTCACACGGATAGCACACCATGTGAAACGTAAGTTCTATTGTACGAAATAGATCAAGAGAAACAAAACCCTTTTGTTTTAACTGAACTACCCCTAGGTGAGGTACATGTGTTGAAACAGAGAGCAAAAAGTCCTAATTGAAAATTCGAAAGACAAAAGACTTGCCCATAGGGCGAGGGTCATCTTACGGTTAGGTAGTGGAGTGACCGAAATCTAACGTACGTAAGTGATATGTTTCCTTAATGAGTACGTGCAAAGCAAAACCTTATCGTTAAAATAATTGTACAGTGAACATTAAAATAATCACTAACATGGTGAAATTAAACCTGTTATTCACTTTAGTTGAAA